TCATTATGAAATGAGGTATAAAGTTGATGTCAACAGTTTGAGAAACTGGAATTTTCTCTCTTCAAACAAAATTAACGTAATTAGAATCTGCCGGAAATCCAAGGCTTGTATAAACCGCAGCAATCTTGGATCTGTTTTATATACCACGTGAATTCTGAATGACACTTGCCTAAACTTTACAAGTTTACAATTATAATGGAATATGAGGTAAAAGCAATTCTCAAAAGCAAAGTATTATAACTTTTCCGATAAATTTTTAATCGTGAACTTTTTTATCTGCGTTCAGAGAAAGCAGAGAAAATTTTTTTTAAAGAATTAAAATTACAAATATTGACGTTTTGTGTATTGGTGTCCGAGAAGGGGAAAATAATCAAATCATGCGTTATCGCGACAAAACGTCAAAAATATTTCCAGGAGAGTTACATTTAAATTTGCACTTTAAATGGCAATAATATTTATATATCATAGGTGTTGAGTTTATATTGCTTTTTTCTTTGAAAGTGATGGAGATATGAGAAATGATAATATGTATCAACAAACCTGTCGAGGACAACCTTTGCGAACCTTGTATGCATGAATCTCGTCGAACACCCGTTTTTTCCTCTACCAACGATTATATTAATCCCCCAAGTAGAATTTGGTCAAGAAATTCGTTTTTTTAAAGCTCTATTTTCAGTTTTTTTCTTCTTGGTCGACTTTGTCAAGGTAGCAGGCCTACCGGGCTACCCCTCTTTTACCATGATGTTTTGTTTATGGTAAGTACGCATGCGTGAATGACATGGAATGTGGAGCCCCTAACATATTTATGGTCCATAAATAATTATTAACTCTAATGGAATAATCAAAGTTATTTAGTTATGAAACTTGTATTTTTCTGAAAGTTTATACATTTATGAGTAGTAAAAAAAAAATCCAAATCCTATCGGAAAATTTTATCAAGTCTGTTTTTTTTGTTGATGAGATGCGCCGTACTGTCTCTTTAATATTAAACCAGTAAGAAGCCAACTTTAAAGCCACCTGTTTAAAAAATATATATCTTAAGAACTGGACTCCTCCATCAATGTAACTTATGAACCAATGATATAATATAATATTTTACACACATTCACTTAATCTGTACAAACAATTTATGAAAATATAAACAATAAAATGTCTTTCTTTCTTTGTTAATACAGGGATAACGGTTGCAATCATTGCATCTATAACAAAGTACAATTAAAGCACGTACCCGAGGGTTTTCTTTTCTTTTCTTTTTTTTCAATGTCGCAACCGAAATCCAGACATTAACGAACAGAGAACGCACTTCACTGTGTCGTTTTAAGTTTACAGATGTAAAATTCGAAGATGACGAACAGTGATCTACCTCATAAATTCAGTAAACAAAACGAATCGTTAACAGGGCAAAAACACGGACCCCTAGAAACACCAGAGGTGGGGTGGGATAAGGTGCCTAGGAGGAGTAAGCTTCCCCCTGTTGACCGGTCACACCCGCTCAGAGCCCTATGTATTGAGCAGGTATACGGAGTACTCTGTACTCAAATTTAGTATAAAAGCAATGACCTAACACATGGTATCAGACATGTCAGACAAAATACGACTCAACCCAAACAAGGTCATTATAACAACTGTAGAATTTACGAAAAGTGACTTTAAACGAGGTTGTTGAAATCCTTGTAACATCAACTTATTTGTCAGTAGCTTGCCTCAAATTTAAAAATTGATCGTACTCAGAGCATGCTCTTGCGTATCGAATCAGTTGGGAGACATAAACACCATATGAAGGTGCTGTTAGAATATTACTACATAAAAAGGAAACATGACCGTAGGAACCCGGGGGGAGGGGGGGGCACGGGGGGCCGATATATAGATGACATATAGATGACTATAGAAAATTTAGCTACTTCTAGCTTGTGCCCCCTCAATAAAAACGTCTGATGACCTTTTTTTTTTTTTTTTTGCTTGTCAAGGAATTTTTGGTAGTTGATAGTGCCCCCAACTGAAAATGTATGGCTGTGCCCCCCCCCCCCCCAACTGAAATTGCTTCCTACGGGCCTGGGAAAGTTGACGATGGAAAAGCTGAAGTCATCTCATTTGTCATACAATTTGTTATAAGTTTAGTTATTATCGTCTATAGTTAATAAAAATCCAACTATGAAACAGATGTGACAGACTCTGTGTAGTGTCTTTCATTTCGAGTTCACTGGGATATATCGAGTCAACATATGAATTCAAGTAGCAATTGCTATTTAATAAAACTTCGTCGATATACCTAAATGTCGAGTTGAAGGCCACAGCAAGAGTTTATTTCTACTCATATAGAAATTTCTGAATAAATTCTGCTTCATAGGAATATAAAAACAGATCGGCTAATAAAGAAGCACAATTAGTGCCCATCGAAATTCATCGAAAGTTTTTTTTGGAAGACCTGGTCTCCAAAGACTACATAGATATTGTCAATGAATAACTCCAGTATCTTTTTGATATCAACTTCAGAGTACTTATACATGTATGTCGAATCGGAATGATTTTTAACAAAGTTATTTTGTAAATTACCAATCACAAGACATGAAAATTTTTGAGTTCCATTTTTATTGAGGAAGTAGTTGTCTATGATGTCAAAGTGCCTGCTCTTTAATTTATCCCGAGAAATGGTTGTATAAAGCGTAGAAAAGTCATATGTTTAATGCTTTTGATGTTTGAAAAGTTTTGAAAGTTTAAATTTTCCAAAAAACTGGAGTTTTCATAAGTAGAATCCACATTTGATTTATACCACTTCTTGAATATGTACAATGTTTGACGTTTCTCCTTGGTGAGGAGTAAGGATGGGGGCTTGGTTGAACATATATATACTGAATCCTATAACTGTTTGTTAGGATGTTTATGAAGTTTTGGAATCCAGTATAGGTACGGTAAATCAAACTCATTTCCATTGACACGAATGTTAAAAGAATTTAAAGGCTGAAAGGTGATTTTGAAGAATTTCATCTTTTGAAGGGGAACTCTGAGTATAGGCTAAGTTTCCCACAAGGAGCAAGTCTTGAAGAAGAGACTAAGAAGCGGGTGCATAAACATGTATTAAAATGACAGTCAAAATTATCCTATACAAAAAATATATCTATATTTCAAGCGGTTCATCGTCTCCTCTCTGCTTCTTAAAGATTTGTATTCATTAAGTTACACCTCAGAATATTTAAAATACGCAAAAAGTAATACAGAAACGTGTTTTTTTTAATGTTACCTGTGTTTTTCTTTTGGAAAACCATCAGAAATGTAAGTGTTAGTTTTACTTTTAGTCCCTTGAAGAGCAACTATTTAACAAAGTATTCATCACAATGACTAATATCTCTATTCATGGATTCTTTCCATGAATAGAGATTTTTTTTATTGCTAATTAATTTGCATTATTGCACTTTGTGTTTATCATTACATTATCGTAAATTATAATTAAGGTATTTACGAGGGTTGTTCAATAAATTATGTCTTCGGTGCTCGGAAAGAAACAAAAAACGCTATTCAATGATTTTGTCTTAATTATTTTCCTTAAATATGCTCCTTTAATTGAAACACATGTCTGTAATATATTTATCCAATTCCTAATTGTTTTTAGAACACATTTCTGAGTATGCCCTTCGTATACTGGAATATGATAGATCCTATGATTTCCTGGACTTGTTTCTTCTTTCTGAAAGGTGTTTTTCAAGTTTGGAAAATGAAGGAAGTCGTAGGGTAAAAGATCTGGCGAATATTGTTGGTGTGACAAAACATTAACTTTCTGTTTATTCCAAAAAACCCTTTACTGTTCAGGACGTGTGGGTTTGGACGCTGTCATGAAGATTAATGTAGTAGATTCCTGATTCTGGATCCTTCTTCTCATAAACCTTTCGATTATTTTGCAAAAATTTTGACTCGTCCAGAAATTAAACGGCCTCCCCAAATAAGAATCTGAACACCAAGACCACTACTATTGAAGAAAATGGCATATAAAACTTTCTTTGTGCTCTTGCAATTCTTTGCTCTTCAAAGACCCTTGTTAATTTGGTCATGTGCATCTTGTTGTAAATTTTCCTTTGGGGTTCAAAGCAATGGATTCAGGTTTCATTATCAGTGAAAATTTAGACAAACGTGGATACATGTACATGTAACTACAATTTCTAATTTTTAAAAAAAATATTTCGATATTGTTACACGCTCTCGTTTTCACTTATTTGTCAAAACATAGGGTGACCATTGAGTACAAAGCTATTTTACTGTTAAATGTTTCTTTAAAACAGTGTGAACTACCCCCAAAATTATGCCTACCAAATTTGCTACGCGTCTTAAAGTCAATTTAAACATCATCAATGATAATTTGTTGAATTTTGGAAAATATTACATTGGTTTTGTAAGTCCTTGTCGCCAAGGACGGTACCCATTTTGTATGCCCATTTTATCATTTTTGATCATTGAAATCCATCTGCTCAAGTGTCTATAAAACAAACAATGGTTGCTGTAAACATTACACATTTCAGTTAATATTACTTTTGCATTCTTAACAAGTTTTACAGAAGTTTTACATGAAGCGTATAACTTCAATCTTGTTAACCGATTCTTTACCATTCATTTTTAATGCAGTGTCTCGAATAGCCCTTGTTTTCCAGCTTCTCACAATGAAACTATACGATGAAACATGGTCACATAAACGGTTATCAATTTATTAAAGATTCAATCATGAGAGAAAGCCAAGATTAATGTAAAATATTTTCTATGTTGTACGTTATAGAGTTCAGGACATAATTTATTGAACAGCCCTCGTATTTCAGAAATCTATGTATAATATTTCGTAAGTGCACGGTGTTAAAAAAGGAACTTTATTTCGTGTTAGCAGGAATTTCTAGAATACCTGCATCTCTGAATCCAAAGAATTAAACGTATTTGCAGATCATTAGTGTTAGTACCATTACAAACTAATTAATGATTAATGTTGGTTTAATGTCCATTTACTTAAAATTTCAGGATATATGATGGAACCCAGACAGAAGAATTGCTTCGATGATTTTGATAAGTCATACACACCGAACTGCGGAGATAAAGGTCTCGTAAGCGTGAAGTCATCAGCAGCTATGTCTAAGAAATACAGGAAATTCCATAGCAGCTTACAGGAGTACGGAAACAATGCATCTTTTCATGGATTGCATTTTGTGACAGACCCATTGTCTAATAAACCTAGAAGGTAAAATTTTCTTGTCAAAATTCTTGAATAAATTGTAATTTGTAAATTGTAAGTTATTAGACATTATCGGTAAAATTGAATGTAATTTCTGTAACATACGTCGAGCAAAAGATACTTTTAGTAACCAAAATTGAAAGAAATGAAATATGAAATTTACTATAAAATGGGCAAAATGCCTTTGAATAATATATAGATCTATCCCAGTCATGCTTCCACCACTTTTCCCAGCACAATTTTTGAAATTTAGTATTTCCTTTCAACGATTCCCTTTAACTAGGACTATTTGTAACATTGATACGTAGAAATGTTGATCCTTAACAATGGAAAAATTGCAAATCGTTGGCAATTTCAAATTTCTTACCGCTCAAACAATAGTCGTGTATCTCTTTTTTATCACACTGTGAAACAGAATGTTCTTCACTGAAGCACTTTTTTAAAATCACATCTTCAATATGACATTCTACACCAGGAACCGTGGAGTAGCTATCAAAAAGTGGAAATAAGTCAAATTGGAAAATCTTACTCAAATTGTTCATTTGACGTATATTACTGATTTATCTCAAGGTAGCATCTCTTGACTCAGGGTATTTTGTAATTATTTCCGTTGCTGATTGTTCTGTTTGTCTATGCTGTAATGTACGCGATATCCTCGCCAGTCTATTCATTCTTTTTCTGACCTTTCTGTGACCTTTTCTTCAAAATGCTCTCACTCATGAATTCAGTTCAATTTAGTGTTTAGACTATTGTCATGTTGTAAATTTTGAATTTACCGGGTGGCAGTAAATACAAAATTTACAACATGACAAGTTGTAAATTTTGTATTTACTGCCACCCGGTAAATTCAAAATTTACAGCATGACACTATATCAAGGTTCACAATATTTTTCATGTATAAACTTGGAATTGAATGTTCTGAAATATATTAAAATGTCGACCCTTTCAAAGTTTTTATGTTATTGGAAGAGAGTAATCTTATTTATTTATCTTTAATTTATTGTATCTTTTTCGAATTGAAACAGTGTTGCACAAATACTGCTTTTTAAATGATGCCAAATGGCTTCAGAATCATTTTGATATGTATAATGCCTCTTTGTACGATGTGCTATTACTTTCAAATAAACGATTATCAATAAAAATGAACCGAAAAGTGTTCAAACTGAATCGTTTTCCCACAAACTACCGAATTTATACTTTTTTCCCTCACTATTTTAGTTTCAAATAAGTGTAGACTGATGCAGAACTGTAGCGTTATGGTTTTATATCTTAGTCTTTGACCATAACGCTACAGATCCCGTAATGTAAATAAAGTGCAATTTACGGTGCAAGATTTTCTGCGCACTTTGGGGATGTATTTCGCCACTGTCCAGCATTGGTCAATCAACGACTTTTAATCCTCTAATTCTAGACATATTCTTTAACCAACCTGTATATTTTATCCATCTCCTAACCGTTTATACGAGGGCTATTCAATAAATTATGTCCTCGGTGCTCGGAAAGAAACAAAAAAAAAAAGAAGAAAACCGCTATTCAATGATTTTGTCTTAATTATTTTCCTTAAATATGCTCCTTTAATTGAAACACATGTCTGTAATATATTTATCCAATTCCTAATTGTTTTTAGAACACATTTTTGAGTTTGCCCTTCGTATACTGGAATATGATAGATCCTATGATTTCCTGGACTTGTTTCTTCTTTCTGAAAGGTGTTTTTTCAAGTTTGGAAAATGAAGGAAGTCGTAGGGTAAAAGATCTGGCGAATATTGTTGGTGTGACAAAACATTAACTTTCTTGTCAAAGACTAAAATATAAAAGCGTAACTCTACAGTTCTACAGCTAGTGTAGACCAAGAGCTATATATAGTTTGTAATGGCAAACACCTAATTGTAGATATAATTATGATTACTAGAGTATATGAAATCAACCTTTGTCATTTCTGTTTTTGTTTAGGTTATTCTGGCTGCTTCTCCTGTTGGTTTGCCTAGCTGTTTTAGTTTATCAAATAATTGACAGAGTCATATACTTTTATTCATACCCCGTCACTGTAAATGTAAAAGTCAACTACAACAGAACACTGGAGTTTCCGGCAGTCACGATCTGTAACCAAAACGCATACAAGTAAGAACCTTTCTTAATTGTTAACCCTCATAAAACTAGTGTACAAGGAAAAATAGGTGATTGAGATGATTCAAAGACTCTGCTATTAATGGAACAGTATACCGTAGATAATATTCTTATGCTCTATAAATAATTCTTTCATAGTTTTCTTTTTATTGATATTTTCTCATGACTTCAAAGCATTTCTGGACCATAATTCATTTTTTATTGTCTGATATATTTCATCTCTGCTATTTGTTTGAAGCTCTATCAATTATTCAGTAAGCTTTTTATTTTAACAACAGAGAAATAAGTGTTTTACGTCATTTTAAATGAAAAAAGATACATTGAACATAATAGTTCAACGGCAGCCACTCAAAATTAATTAGGGCTAATTCAAATTCTAATTTATATTGGCTCATTAGCAAGTATTTTCTATTTTGCGGTATGTATTTTTTCTTTCTGAAATAACCTATATTAAGCATAAATGTGTCAATAAAGTCAGGTGGTGTATAATAGCAAAGATGGTCTTTATTTGCGAGTGAGATTGTAAGACTAGGATGAAATATGGAGATAAAGAACAGTAATTATGCTCAAAAATTCATTGAAACAATACAACTCGGGAAAAGAGCAAACACGGACCTCTAAAACATCACAGGTGGGAACAAGTGCCACGGACGAGTAAGCATCTTTTGTGGACCGGTCACACCCGCCTTGTGCTTATTGTCATGATCGGGCAAACGGAAAAATCCGTAGACAATTCAGTGTTTAAATAATGGCCTAACATTTAGTATGTAAAACGTCAGTCAGCATTCGACTGACTTGTGATAGGTTGATAGATTGTATTTGCTGACAAGGTCATTCTATCAAACAAAGAACTTGAAAATGATGACTTTAAAAGAAACTGTTGATATCCTCGTTTCATCAACTTGTTTGGCAATACCTTGCATCTTTTTAGAAATTATTCCTACATGGAGCATGCTCGTGCGTATCGAATCAACTGGGAGATATAAACTCCATATGCAGGTGATAAGGGTGTATTTCTACATAATAAAGTAAGGGAAGTTGACGATAAAAAAAAGTTGAAGTCATTACGTTTATCATAATGTTTTGTTGTTAGGTTACCATTAACGCCTTTTTTCTAGTAAAATATCAAAATATGAAACAGATGTTTCAGACTCTGTGGTATCTTTTATATCAACTTCACTGGGATATATCGAATCGGCATATTAATGGAAGTAACTATTGTTGATTTATAATAGGTCGTCGATATATCTAAATGTCGAGTTGAAGGCCACAGCAAGTGTCTTTTTCTTCTTCTCATAATTTGAATAAAATAATAAATATAATAAAGTTTTGAATAAATTCTGCTTCATATAAATACAAAAATAGGTCTGCTAATAGCGAGACGCAATTGGTACCCATGGAAATTCCGACAGATTATTGGAGGGTATGATCTCCAAAAACTAACAAACAGTTAGGAACTCGAGCATTTTTTTAAATATATACTTCAGAGTATATATGTAGAATCAATGCTTTTTAACAAAATAATTTTGCAAATGACCAATGACGAGGTAAGTAAATTTACGAGTTTTTTTATTGAAAAATCAGCTGTCTTTGATGTTAAAAAGCCTGGACTGTGTGTAATTAATCGTTGGGAATGGCTGGATAAAGTGTTGAAAAGTCGTACATTTTGATGTTATTGATTTTGGTAAAATTTTGTGATTTCAAATTTTCTAAAAGTTCCTTGGAGTTTTTAAGTATCCACATGAAATATATGGAGAAAATGAAAAATGAGTGAAATTACCGGTTGTGCTTTTCATGTATTACATGTGTAGTTTTAATTTCTACTAGCACAAGGGGCTACCTCCGTGCAGAAAACCACTAGCCCGACCCCCGAAAATGGTAGCCCCGGGCGTCGGGCGATACTAATTGCACACCCCTATGTGAACTTTCATTCCATTCGATTTAATAGAAATCAATTTACTACATTTTAAAATCAACATGTTTGATAACCCCGGAGCACACTTAACAACATTATAACGTCAAAAATAAAGCGTCATGAGGTTCTCAAAATATTCTCCCTAAACATTTCACACAGTCTGGTCCAATATCTGCTCATTAAAAACTTGTTTCTGTCAATTGAAATTCATTTTGTTATCAATTGTTCCAGTAGCATAATTTTGTTTGTCAAGGTTTCCCTTTTTTTTACCACTTACCTATGCTTTCACAAGATCAGCAAGCGTGTAGCGCCTTTCTCTTTCCAATACCTTCCTAACTGTACGTTTTTTGGTTAGATTTTTACAGATGACCCGTTTCCTCACAGATCGTCCTCGTCTGATACAAAGTCCATATCATTCAAATACCGCCTGGATCATTTGCACACACTCACATGCAGGACTCGCTTTTGAGATATTTCATGCTTCCTACAACATTTTTAGATTTTATTCTGACGTTTTCCAGAATACAACAGAAAATTGTATCGTAAACTGCTGCTCCTTGACGTTCTACGACGTCACCATTTTTGTTTTTTCATTGAGGACTACCTATCTTCAGAAATTGATTTGTTTTCCATGAAGCAAACTATTAATTCATAATTTTGTATATGAAACGATGTAACAATTCTTAATTTAATCGTCTAGATAAAGTGGATTTTTTTTTGGGGGGGGGGGGGGGGGGGGTTAGAGCCATTTTACAGAGGCAATGACTACAGGCATTAATTAGTGTATTGTTTGTAAATTACTAAATTTTGACTCGCTCCGCGAACCAATTTTCGCAGTTTTTAACTCCTATTAATTTTTAAATAAATCAAGATATTTTAAAATTTTTTGATACAAATCATTTGAATTTATTGTTAAAATAATTCTACAAAATTTGGATATAATATGACGTTAAATAAAAAAAAGATATGACAAGTCCACGAACTTTTCCAACAACCCTCGTACATGTACATGTATGTAATGTCAATAAACTTAAATAACTCTTTCAATCAATCTTTATCATTCTCATTCAATCATTTTCGAGGCGGAGATTTCATCATAATTATTCATGATTTTACACTTGGTTCCTGGCTTCATTTATACAAAACGACATGTGGGTTTATTTCCTCATAACATTAATAGATGAACTTAGTTATATGAAGTGTCGTTTAAAACTGTGATAGAAATTGAAAAAGATATGATTCATTGGAGAAAGATACTATTTATAATATTGTTTGATTGTGTCAAAGTGAATCTTAATGATACCATGACATGTCCAACGTTGGAATATTCCATCTTTCCACCACTTTACTATATCTATTATATAGGCCACGATTTGTACTTTTTTTTTTTAATTTTACTCTTTGTTAATATATATACTGTATACGTAGATCACCAAATTTTTGCGAGACCTTATTTTTGCGAGTAATATATATTTGGTATTTATGAGCGGGACAAAATTTGCACGAATGGAGATTTTTGCTGTATATATTCTTTGATAATAAAATTATGAGCGAGAATTAAATTTTCGCGAGCAGACCGTCTCGCGTAATTGCGCGAAAATAAAGGTCTCGTGAATAAAAAGGGATTTACAGTAATACAAACTTACAGAAAAATTACAAAAAAAATAAAAATTAAAGAAAATTTTAAAAAACTATAAAATGAAAATGGTGTAATATACAAAACAAATGAACACTTATGGAAAAGATCAAATACTGCATCAATTGACATGCCATATGGTACAAAAAATGAATTCTTTTCAGAGCAACACTGTCTGCTTCACTGGGTAGATATAGACTCATTGAGAAGATGTACACTGAACCTTTCAACCGCACCGATCTCCGACATTTTTCAGCTGAGAACATTTCTCTTGGCGATCTCTTTCTTCAGTCCTCGCACAGGAAGAATGACTTCATTTTCAGGTATTGTGGGCCACCATCAATACTTACGAAAAAACTTACGTTGTAGTACATGTATATCACTTGTCAGCTTTTAAGAAAATTTCAGTCAGAACCTCTCACTTCAAAACTATTTATTACAATTCAATATTTATAACATATTTGAAATAAACAATGCAAATTATACAACATTCAAATTAAAAACTGCTCACAAAATCATAAACAAAGAATGTTTATTTCTTGTGGTAGAAGGATATTTAGAAGAAAATTGTTCAAATCTACACATTTGTTTGCTTTGATATCTTGGAACTTAAAAACCCTTCACGTTTTTACTCGGAATATTTTTTTTCCGTTATTATGTGCTAGGGATATTTAATATAGGTTTCAATTAATGTTTTTAGAACAATTTCTGCATATTCACTAAATAGACTTTGCTAGGAAATGAAGATATACTGAAGAAGTCAAGATAAAGTTTACACAGTTTTTTGCCTAAAAAATCGCATATTTTGACCAATATCTAAAAAATTAATTACTGACCCCATCTTTTTCTCTCATTCTTTTAAACTACAGAATACTTCCAACCGATCAGCACTGAAGTCATAAAAACCTTGATACAAAAAATATTTTATTGCCTCTTTAGGTTTTTAGTACCCAAAACATGATACCTTTTTATCGCAAAAAGGTCACACAATAATTTATGCGCATTTATTTGCAAGATTTGTCCAATGATAAATATTATTCAAAATATTTTACATAAAATAAGATTATATTTATTGCCTTAATTACATCTGGTAAAATATAACAGAGATTAAACTGATTAACTTAAGATGTACAATTTAAGTGCAAGAAGGTCGGGTTCAATGTACCGTTGCTTAATAAGATGCACAATGACCCCAATTTTTCTTTGCGATATTGAGTCATGCTATATGAGTACTTGTCTAAAATATACTTCTCAAACAATCCTTGATACAGCTAATTTCACGAGTGACATACCTTAATGTATAATTATTTGCAGGATGCTGAGTATATTTTGAAAAGAAATAACATATGGAAAAAGGAATTGTTGTGAGATTTTAAATGCATAAAATGAAAATTTAGATCTTGGGAGCTTTATTTTGATGTCTGTGAACAGATGCTTTCCAGATATCAGAATTTGAACGGCATCTTTCGAATGCTTACATCTGCTTTATAAAATTATGGGAAAGGGTTAAAGGGGCCTAGACACAGATTTGAAGTTAACATTTTTTCAAATTTCTCTATAAATCATGACTTATATGTTTCTATAGCATTTCACACGGAAATGTAATAAAAACTTATTTTATCTGGGAATTATTGAAACTACGAATTTCGGGAGGCATTTGATTGACACATCCTTGCACTTTCACAGAGTAAACTTTATCCTTAGTACATGTACTTAAGAAAAAGAGATATTTTGTTGTGTATCAATGAAAAATATTAAAACTATAATCCAGAAAATTCAGAGTAGAAATGTGAGAAAGCAAAAACAACTCACCAGTATTTTCAGTCCGTTTTCAGTGATGTGTGCAGAGTTTAATAAATTGAATACACCTGGAGAAACGTAAACTATTTTTGCAAACAGGACACGAGCTCTGTTATTGTTAATGTTTATTTAATGTTCATTTCTCAAAATATTTATTAAAATACTGGTTAAAAATTTGAGCATTGATTTAAAATTGTCAACCAATTCTGGAAAAAAGTTGTACCGACTTATTTGCAGGTCAACGGCAAGCCCCTCAAAAATAATCTTTAAAAATTTAACCGACTTATACGCGAGTATATACGATAATCAACAAAAAAATCTTTATCCGATTCAAGAATCTGTACAATTTTCAATGATAAGAAGTTTATTTTTTTTGTCAGAATTGAGCGATTGGATATATTTATAGTCAAAATGAGAAAAGTCTTTGTTGAAGCTGAATAAAAGATTACTTCTCGGTGAACTTTGTTTAAGTGCATGCAGTTGCATTGTTAGAAAGGTGACGACCTCTTGTTTTCCCCCCTACAAACTTAATCATCAAAAGACAATTCATTGACTACAACTAAATCCTATTAATTATTCAAAAGAGCTCCTTGACATTCTTCAAATCAAAGAATTGACATTCATTGACAACATCTTATAGCCCTATTTATTATTTAGAGGTGTCCTTGAAAACTTATTAGATTAAACATGCAGTTATACTTCAGATCTTACAATAAGGCGATTTGACAGTAATACAAGGGTCATTCAACAAATACGTAGATAACGTCGCTCATCGTCCTATTATTTTTCATACTTTCAAGGCCAGCATATTATCAAATTTGTCAAAACGTTTATTTTGTCGATGTGTGCAGTTTCATTCTCTTTGATTAAATGGAACTCGTAATTCTTGTATTTAAAATGAACATATATTGTCACCTCTGAGCATTCTGACGACATTGTACTGTCACAAACATAACGTAAATTAGGGTTTCTCAAAACAGTTGGGTGCATTAGCTAGTCATTAAAATTGTCTCTATACCTCTTGATACTTGGTTTGCTTACAATTATTCATTTAGCATAAGTTAGTTCGTCATTTGTCTTCATTTATCGCGTTACCCTGCTCTCATAAGTTCTGCAATAGTTAAGCGCCAAAAGCTTTCCATGGCATAATTTACTTTGACAAGATTTTTACTGAATATCCATTTCCTAAAAAGGCCGTTCACTATCCGATACAAAGTCTCTTCCATTCAAATGCTGGCTTTACCATTTCTACACAAATGCACGACTCACTTTTGATAAATAGCCTGCTTTCCCATCATTTTTTGAGTTTATCTGTTTTCGAGTTTCCCTGGTGAAACACAAAATTATATTGCTAATAGCTTATCCATTACGTCCTCTAGCGTAAAGTAATCTTTTTTTTCATTTTCAATGATGACTACCTGTATCTTGCAACCGTTTTTTCCTCAACAAAGCAATATACCGGTATTACGTCGCAATTTGGCACTGAAATGATATAACTATACTCGATTTCAAGGTTTAAATTTTATTTCATTTTAGCTCCAATTTACAGAGATATGACAATAAACATAATGTTGTGTGTTTGTTAATAACTAAAGAATCACGCACGCTAACTCTCGATTCCCGCCTACATTTTACAACCATTTAATTCAATACAAATGGCAGTTTGGCCATTAAATTTGACTGAATTTAAAAAAGAGTTCATTATTAATTGATTCGTAATTTAAAACCAGTGTCAAAAACTTAATTGGTCCTATTTACGACTCTTTTCAAAAGGGGGGTTGAACATTTTATCCATTGAAATCAGGCATTAAAAATGCTTGATTTTCAAACACGTATGGAAATGAAAAAATGACCTTTAAAACTTCCCGTATATTTAACTTATGTAAAATTCAGCATAAAAGACTGCTAAAAGACCTTATTTTATTTGTAATCGCATTTGAAATTGATAATAAAATGACAATTTTCGCAGTTTTTTGTCTGTAAAAATACCTCCCCCCACTCCCGTGAAACAACAAAAGCTTTGGCATGAATTTGTCAAATAACAATTTATAAAACCCATAATAAGGAATTTTTGTTTCACCGGGTGGGGGGGGGGGGGAGGGTTGGTTAAAAATATTTTCCGTTTTCCGTTAATTTCTATTGTGAAAAACGCAATTTTTACCAAAATATCGCTCTTAGTTTTCCCAAATAAGTTTTGTTTTTTTTGAAAATTCACATAAATATCTATATAAATATGAAAAATCATTCAAATATGTTAACTTTTGAAATTTGATTTGGAGATAGGCGGCAGAACAATACTATCGTTCGCAGTTTGCTCCTTGATCGCATTTCAGCAGTTTTAATTTTTTTAAAACAATTTTGAAATTCACCGTGAGATATATTTTTAATTCAAATACGTATACAATACGTTAAATAAAAAAAAGTTATGACAAAAGTCACGCATTTTGTTTGAATGACCGCCGTATCAAATAGTTTCTGTTAATAAAACAAATTTAGTATTTCTAGTAATTAAATGAGTGCTCTATATTTTTAAAGACGTATTTGGAAAGGCAAGCCTGTTGATGAGAAGGATATACATACAGCCTTTACCGACCATGGAGTTTGTTATACCTTCAAAAACTACGGGCTTGATGACTTTGTAACATCCCCGGGTAATATTTCACATGCAAATCATGTACATAACTCCCCTTTATTCTTATATATAATTATATATGTTATATTCAGTAAAAATTTGTATTGCATAAATATTTTAATGAAAAATGGGGAAAATATGCATGTGCGAAATATAATTTTCCCAACAAAATAAATTAAATGACTAGTGCAAACCGTATATCGTGACAACGATTTCTTCTTAAGTATACCTAACTTGTTTAGTGTTTGTTTATATGAGTCATATTATTCAGGTGTTGAAAATGGGTTGCTTTTGACACTGAACATTGAACAATATGAGTATATGCCGGGACCTCATGATGCAGCAGGGATAAAGATGCTTCTTCATGATCGAAATGAAATTCCTCGTGTCCATGCCCTCGGTCAAGCTATACCGCCAGGGGCCCATGTGTTTGTTGGTGTTAAAATAGTAGAGGTAGAAAATAATTTGTTTTGGTCTGTCGTGTCTTAAATATTAAAACAATGAGAACAATATATAAATTTAAGTTCTTATCAAACTTATAACATTTGTCACTATGTACATGTAAAAGATGCTTAGAGGGTCCTTAATTCAAATTCAATTTTTGATCAATCATAATACCCCAAAGTTATACAATAACCATTCATTAGACACAATATCTATCGATCTATCTATCTATCTATCTATCTATCTATCTATCTATCTATCTATCTATGTAATCTCTCTCTCTCTCTCTCTCTCAACAGTATAATTTTCCTTTTGCAAAACAAGCTGAATCGGTAAAATAAAAATTCATGGTAATTAATAGAGAGTTACTTTAAATCATAACATTTAAATCTTTTTTGGGAACAGGTATCGAACCTCCCTCCTCCACACGGAACTTGCCAGGATAAAACTCTGGAGTATGAAGACGTGTATTCAACAGAAGCTTGTCAGTTAGACTGTCTTACCAAAAGGGCGGCAGCAGTTTGTGGCTGTCGGTCATTATTTATGCCTGAGAAAGATGGTTTCTGAATATTTAAAATTTCAGTCTTTTTATAAAGAATTATGTTTAAACTTTCCCGAAAAAAGAAATGGCTTTCACATATGTTAATTGTATTATTTAAGTTTATAATTCAGATATATAAATGTTTAAGGTTAACATTAGTACTTCACTGTAACATAAGTTTACTCTCAACTGTTTCCCTTAACGTTTTACATATAGTATCAGATATTATATTTCTATGAAGTAAGGGCTTATGAACTATTTGAGAATATAAACTCATTAATGGTCGAACTCACATAGTACCTAACACACTTTTTCATTGGCTTGAAATAAGACTTTAGCAAAAATTAAGTGAGCGACTTAATAGAAGAAATTATCAGTTGTTGAAAGGTATAGATTTTTATAAAATAAAACAATATTTATATTAAACAATTGTTTAACTATTCAGGATTTCCTCCTATCTGCACCCTGGATGAATTCTATGGCTGCCTTCATGATGTATTAGGTAAGTGTTTCTAGTCTGTATTCTTATAGGTACCTATATTATTGACAAACCAATGTATTGGTTTTAAGCATAAGTTTTAATGATTATCAAATATAAATTTTGCATAGATTTGATTCGTTAACTTCGAAAATAATTAATTTTACCCTGTACAAAATTACTTAAAAGAAATATTTATATGTATTTAAGGCCATCTTTTAAAAAAAAATGTTTGCCCTCTCCCGACCGACTGACTGAAAAGGATGCGACTCAAAACTTTTTTAACATATAGGAGTAATTTTCTCATCCAATTAATTACTATTTTAACTTCAAATTCTTAATTTTTTTATCCCCCCCCCCCAATCCAATCTAATTATTTTATCCTGAGTCAGTAGGGCAAGTACACATTTTTTTAAGGTGGCCTAAGAAAAAATGTTTGTTTTTTTTTTCAGACACATTTCCAACAATATCTGAAAAACTCTGTGACTGTCCAGTGCCATGTAAATTCAGACTTTATGAAACAGATATATCATATGCCAGCACATCAGCATACAGTTTAAACAAATTTTTAAATGAGGATGATAAAAAGAATTTGTCTCGAAAAGTGTTAGAAGGAGCAGAAGTGACGTCACGTTATGAAGAAACGCAATTTTCGAAGGTTCAATATCTGTACAGCCAGATGATAAACGACATAGAAATAGTACGGAAAAGAGTCCTTGTTAACTTAAAGGAAATTGTTAATGAAGCCTTAATTGGTGTTAATGAAAGATATCAAGAAATTAAAGACCATTATATTTGGAAAGAATACTTGTACAGGTATCAAGCTTATATTCTTCAAAAAAATTTCATGCGTCCTCGCGATGCATATGAAGAGCGCACTTTCCATATAGTGGCACTGGGATATGCCGAATACATAATGACTATAGAGAGTAGAATTCGCGAACTAGCGAATAAAAATTTCACAGATGGACCTACAAGGCAACTTTGGTATGAAGACACATCAGACCTGTTGAAAAATAGGGAAAGGATAATAGAGATTGCCTTGATTAATTTTACATCTTTGGTAGAGGCATACGATACTGGAATACAAATCTTCAATTACAAATTCTTTTCTACACCTCGTTCACATAACATTCCTGCTGCACCAAAATTACTTATTAAGGAATCACGAGTTCATAACAGCTATGCAAGGAAGTATGGGAAACGATTTGGGACTTATCTTCAAAGAACAATTACTATTCTCAAGTTTTGTCAAAAACTGTTGGATGATGCCTATTTTCATACGACTTTGGACGAAGGAAATATGACAGAGTGCCGTGAGACATTTCGATATCTTATGAGAAATTGGGTGTTTGCAAGAAGTGTGTTTTACTTTGATACCATAAATTGGCCTCTAAAGCAGATTGAGGACCGACAGCAAAGATTTGACACACAGTGGAACGAATTGAAGACAATGTTTGCAAATCTGAATCAAAGTTTAACTTCACTGAAGACCGACATACAACTTTTTGAAAAGAATACTTTTGAGAATATTGAGGTTACACGAGATTCTGTAGAGGCCTATTTGAATGATACATTGACAAAGCTTCATATCTCGGAAATATTCACATCTGTCACCTTTCAACAACTGTTAACGAAGTTTGATATATTTTTCCAACAAATTCGTTCTAGGGAAAAATCCTTATATGATTGGCTGAGCCAAATGCAGAATGATGCTTACGGTATTTTTAAAGTAATAGTTTTAGACGAGGATTCGTGGGAATATTACAATTTTACGGGACGGACAGATTATTTGGGTAATATTTCTGACATTGAGGGGAACTTGATCGAAAATTATACTTCAGTAGCCGAATCAATGCAGTTTTCTGTCTGTGTGAACGGAAGTGATTCAGTTTTGCTGTCGACATTGCAGGATTTCGTGGATGAAATGACGTCATATAAAGACTCTCTGAAGATTGATAGCAGTTTTATCAAGTAAGAGTTGTTTTATCAAAGTAGCTTGCTTTCTCTGTAAGAAATAGGCGTATTTTATAAAGAATTGCCACAATCATTTACCATAGGAATCCACAAATACAATAAGCGATATAGATTCTTGTATATTTTATTCATATTTTCAACTTCCAGGGATAATTTCCTGCAGGTAGACATTTTTTATCGCCAGATGAGTTACGAAGAAATTCACCAGCAAGAAGCATACGGAATGTTTTCTCTTTGGTGTAAGTGTCGAAATCCCGAGCTTAGTAGAATTTAGAACTTTTTTTGAATCAGCATTCAGAACGGTTGGAATTGTTGAAATATCATAGTAAACCAATACTTATTTCCAATTGAAATTTCATCAGTATGATAGAAATTAAAATTTTCATTTCATTAATTAAAGGGCGGAGATAAAAAAAAATTGATTTATTGTGAAATGTTTTATTTCAAAAATAGAAACGCGGAGATTAGGGAAATTGATTGATTGTTTACTGTTTAATGCTGAGTTGAGAGTATATCAATCATATTTTGCGCTTGAATTTAACCTAACAAAATACTATCGTTAATTATAGTAAATCAAAGTTATCACTATATTAAATCAAAGTGTTTAAAGTTATCACTAAATGTATAGTGTCATAGTTATCACTATAGTCAATCAAAGTTATCACTATCACTATAGTCAATCAAAGTTATCACTATAGTAAATCAAAGTGTTCAAAGTTATCACTAAATGTATAGTGTCATAGTTATCACTATAGTCAATCAAAGTTATCACTATCACTATAGTCAATCAAAGTTATCACTATAGTAAATCAAAGTTATCACTATAGTAAATCAAAGTGTTCAAAGTTATCACTAAATGTATAGTGTCATAGTTATCACTATAATAAATTAAAGTTTTCTAAGTTATCACTATAGTAAATTAGAGTTACCACTATAGAAATCAAAGTTTCAAAGCTACCACTATAGAAAATCAAAGTGTGAAAGTTATAAGTATTGTAAATCACAGTTAAACTTAATTAATCACATTGCGACCCCATTAAGCCTTCTCGAAAACTAGAGAAACTATGATTTGCTTGTGAAGAGGATTGTAATATTTGACACGGGGCACCATTTAAAATCCCATCTGATGAACTTGAAATACAGAGAAAAATGTATTTTATGAGTATTCATTAAGAAAAAATTGTTAACTGACAATAATACACAGTTGTGAAAAAAAAATCACGTTCATTAGAAATTCTATATCATCAGAACTGCCTTTTTTCTGCAGGTGATATTGGAGGAACAATGGGGCTTTTCCTGGGAGCCAGTTTCCTGTCTGTTGTAGAAATTGTGGACTTTATACTAACCCACACAACCTATCAAAAGAAAGAAAACAAGGATCAAACTAAAAAACAGTTCCTGTAGAAACAAATCAACTCTCTACCTGCTTTCTAACAACAGAATTAGATTTTTTTTATCGAGAACTTTTAGCTAGTGTGCTTGAATTTTATTTGGTCTTACTTATAAAATGCTATAAAGAGTTGAATAACAATCAAAAGACGTAGTACTTGCTCTATTGTGTAGACAACTAATGAATGACGCGTGTTGTTATCAATTACAATGGTTTTTGGAATACGAAATTAAATGTCATGATTTCCTGGATTGATTTTTATTTGTTGATCAATAGTCACGAGATCATAACTAACACTAATTCATCTCATATATACAGGCCATAAATAATTTTGTAAAAATGTATCGAAATTAAATCTTAAATATAATCATGTGACACACTTCGAAAGAGATAAATACGAGTATATGTTTACTTGCATGTTAAATTTTTGAAACATCAATTTTCTTTTAAAAAAAAAAGTAAATGAAGAGTTATTTTGATGTACTTCATCTTCCATATATCTGTAGGCATACTTTTAGTAGAAATTTTGTGTGCGATCAACAGTAACCGTTCTGGATTTTAAAAAAAGTAATTTTGTTCGGCGAGCGCCTTTAAAAAAATGCGACTCAAAATCCCTCTTATTTTTGTTTGCTTCTCCTTTCATGAAATAAACTTATCGCAAAATTTAAACTTATGTTAACTTGCTAGCTTCCAGTTGACATAATGCTATGCCTAGATTTTATGTTGCTGCTGCAATATCGCTTTATCGCTATAGGGCGTCTTGAAGCCGGGGAGTCCAAGTATACAGTTGCTGCAGTTGGTCAAATATTTATAACGTTAACAGGACCACAATTTCCCATCTTCGGCAGATATTCTAAAAACCGGTTCCACAAATGGCAGGTCGCAAACTGGTCGCCAACGCATTATATCAACGAAACTGGATCGCTACATCGCTACATTCAGATATTATCTACGCAGCAGGATAGCAAGGGAAACTATCTCTCCAATACCTGTCTTCGCAAAGTATCAGCGCAGACTGGTGACAGAAGAAGGTGTGGTTGAAGAATTTCATCTTGATACCCATTGGCTGTTAAATAGCCTGGAATGTGAACCAGCTGTGTTCATTGGTTGTATGAAATTGCACCCAACACCATAACATGAACGCCACCAAATATTAGGCCCCTTTTTGTTCTTGTTGTATATTAATGATCTTCCCTTACATGTATGTCATACAAACATTGATGTGTTTGCTGATGATGCAACTCTGCATGCTTATGAGAATAATATATTGAGTTTTGAAACAGCTCTAAATTCTAATTTAGTAAATATTGGAAAATGATGTTTAGAAAATCAAATAGTTTTAAATGTCGATAAAACAAAATGTATGCTGATGGGAACCCAACAAAGGAAATCGAAATTAAATAATCCATATATCATTTTACATGTTTCTGACAAACACCTTGACAGTGTTGAAACGGAAAAACTACTTGGGGTACATAAAGATCAAAAGCTAAATTTTCGTATTTACCTTTTTGCACTTTTGTCTTGTTTTTACTTCATTGGGGGTGGGGGGTTAAGCTTGCAAGTAGGTTATACAAAATCCCCCTTACCCTCTTAGTGTAATTAAATGGTTTGTCTCATCCAAATACTCGATAATATAATTATTATCAAGATATAATTTTTTTAATCGTCTGTTGCACATAGTCGTTTGCAGTTAAATGTTCCTTACAAACAACTGAGCTGCCTTTGAGAGGATTTAAGGTTACATAGTATGCTGCATGATTCAATCGCTTTAGCATTTCCCTGTTAAGCATAAATCCTGAGTTTTTGACGATCAGGGTCAGCAGGGAATTGATATCCTTCCTCAACATGACAACCAACTAGGAACGAACGAACGGAACAACACATTGCAGACAATTTTGAACAGAAAAAGCTGATTTTTTTTCTGCAAATTTGCAAAAACTTTCATATACGACAGCAGGAATCGTGCATGACCAGAAATGCTACGAGCTAGGCAGGATCGATAGCTCAAAAGTCTTTGCTAATTTGTTTACAAGCAAATTATTCAAAGTTTCAGGATATACGATGGAACGAAGTCAGAAAAAATGCTTCGACGATTTTAGTAAGCCATACACATCCAGCTGCCAAGAGGAAGACATTGTAAACGATATCTCTACATCCGAGAGATTCAGGGAATTCTACAATTGTTTACAAGAGTACGGCAAAAATGCATCTTTTCACGGTTTGCATTTTGTGATGGACCCATTGTCAAAAAAACCTAGAAGGTAAAATTATCTCTTGTCTTTTTAAAATTAATAGAAAAGAAATTGATAAAGGTTGAATAAACTAAAATTTCAACCAATAACTGGCTGGTGCGTCTTAGATCCAACACCTGGTTACTTGTATGTGGAGTAATCTGCCAGTGCACGCATTAATAACTCGAAACATTGCCACAACGCATCTCAGGAGTTAGCTGTGGAGGTAAACTCGCCCTCCTCCTCCTGGCCATAGCATAATTTTTATTTTATTGTACATTTATGTTTACCCTTTCATGCGCGTGCTTTACCGTTTTTCTCACTAGGATACCGATTGTAACAAAAGAGAAATTTAACTGTTTTGATAAATGGAGAACACGGCAAACCTATCATAATGTCAAATGAGAAAAGTCAATCCTTTTATCCTACATGTATTTGTATTTCTTGCGGTCAAAATGTATGACATCAAAGCAATAACAGTTGCTGAATTATTTTGAAAGATTTTCATATCTGAACTAAAAAAATCCATCAAATCGTTTACACTACTGTCTTTTTCTTATCATATTATGAAACAGAATAATATTATCTACAACCCTATTTTCTATCATCTATAATGAATATGAAATTCAGGGTTTGTTGATTAGAAATAAGATTTTAAGAGAAATTAATTAAATTGGAAAAACTAGACTCTTATTTTAGGCTCTTTACGTTTTATCCAACTATAGCTATTTCAAGTTCAGACCAGTTTTGATCTAGAGTTACAGTCTGTCATATCCAAGACTGGTTGCAAAAATGATTAAATGACATCAACCTGAGACATTTTTTTAGCTCACTTGAAGCAATGGTTTTCGACCTCTTCATAAACAGTGAAGTGATTTCAACCTAACAAGCAACAAAACAGCCTTCACAGGCAACTTTGCCACATATGATCCACATATGTGTATCATATGTGAATCATATGATTGGTTTCATATGAGAATCATAAAAAAAGGGCATCATATGTGAATCATATGAAGCAAATCATATGAGTCACATATGATTCAGATATGTGAATCATATGAAAAGTTTTAGTGTGTTTCAAGTCATTTACATATGAGAATCATATGAAATGGGCATCATATGTATATCATATGAAACATTTATGTGGGTTTTTTTTCATATTTTTCAAAAGGAAATACACACTTGTACACATTGAAAACCAGGTATTTCTGCTTTAGATGAAATTTCAGTACATTCCAATGATCTGTTAAATACCTGTAAATATTTGATAATGCTTGCATAATTTTCCAAAAGTATCTTCATCAACAGAAATAACTAATATCACACAGTGCACACTTTAAAAAAGAAAGTATACAAACAAGTCAGTAGCATTTGTCGATACATGTATTTTACATATTCTAAAACGAGTACAAATTATTTGAAAGGATTTCAGCAAAATGATCAAGGAAATGAACATGTATACATGTACCAATAAATATCATAATTAGATCATGAACTTGTATAAAAATACCATATGGCATGGAAGTGTCCTTAGCAAAATTGAAATATCTGCAATAACATTTGTCAATATATGTAATCTCTATTGTAAATTTATGACAAATCATAAATTCAGATTACATGTACCTACAGCATATTTAACACATAAATGAGTATGAAATCACAAAGGATGGTGTCTCGATCGAACAAAGATACATATATACATATATATAGTTTTTCATGAAAATGTTTATGTATTTATGCATAAAGCATAAAATATAAAAAGTGAATACATTAAAATGAGATTTTACAATCAAAATGATATTCCAGTATACATATAAATATAGAAAGCCTTGCATATCAAAGTCTGACAAGATTAAGTACATCCTCCTCATTCATATTTATTCCAGATATTTCCTAATTCTTTTCTCTTCTTTCTCTGTCAACTTTTCCCATTTGTCCTCCCTCTGATCTTCCATCATCATATTGAAAATTCTTTGAATTGTACCCAAAATGCAAATCCACCAATGTCCCCTTTCTGAACAATTTGTTTGTGGCACAGAATAATCTCTAAAAATTATTTTGAAAATAATTAGCATTAATAATAATAACAACAGGTCCATGGACCACATTGTTCACCTGAGCAACAATGGCAAACTCACTTAACTCTGACACAAGTGGCTTTTGTGAAATGTGTGTCAATACAAAACAAGAGGCCCATGGGCCACATCGCTCACCTGAGTAACTTTGGCCATGCTGTTCATTACCAGACTTCCCCCTTGTAATACCTATTGTGGCCCCGCCCTACCCCCAGGGGCCATGATTTGAATAATTTAGAATCTACACTACCCCAGGATGCTTCCACATAAATTTCAGCTTTTCTGACCCAGTGGTTCTTGAGAAGAAGATTTTTAAAGATTTTTCCTATATATTTCAATGTAAAACTTGTATTTCCTATTGTGGCCCCGCCCTACCCCCGGGGGTCATGATTTGAACAATTTAGAATCTACACTATCCCAGGATGCTTCCACATAAGTTTCAGCTTTTCTAGCCCAGTGGTTCTTGAGAAGAAGATTTTTTTATGACCCCACCCTATTTTTGTCTTTTCTTGATTATCTCCCCTTGTAAGGGGACTTGGACCTTTATTTTCACAATTTAAACTCCCCTTCCCCCAAGAATACTTTGTACCAAGTTTGGTTAAAATTGGCCAGGTGGTTCTTGAGAAGAAGTTGAAAATGTGAAAAGTTTACAGATGGACGGACGGACAGACGGACAGCTAGACAGACGGACGGACGACGGACAACGGGTGATCAGAAAAGCTCACTTGAGCTTTCAGCTCAGGTGAGCTAAAAAGTGCTGGAATAAATTGCAAAAGTATTTTTTTGATATTTGTTCCATACTGAACAAATTTACTCAAGATTCCCTCCTTAGGCCCCACTATTGTAGCAATGTAGAATTTGTTAAAAAGACTTGATTTTTTCCTATACACAAGTATAAATTACTATGTAAAACTTTGCAACCCTTCAGGGGCCCCACTGGTGATTTAATGGTCATTGTTTCAACAAGCTTGAAACAACACTGCATAGGGATGTTTGCAAAATAATATCACAAATTTTAGTGTGGTAGTTCTTGAATAGCAGATTTTTAAAGACTTTACCCTATATAATCTATAGGTTGAACTTTGAACCCCTACTGGTACCTTACTATTGGTCCTCTTTGCCAAGTTCAGTTGAAATTAGTCCAGTGGTTCTGGAGAAGAAGACATAAATGTGAAAAGTTTATGCCAACAATGATGATGATGGACAATAGACAATTTTGATCAGAAAACTTCACGTGAGCCTTCGGCTCAGATGAGCTAAAAACAAGTACTTTCATTTAAAATGAAAGTACTTGTTTTTAGCTCATCTGAGCTGAAGGCTCAAGTGATTTTAAAGATGAATATGATTGGAACAATTGTTTGTGACATCCAACAAACATGAACTAATTTTCTATCATTGATCATATTTACTAGCAAAGATGTCCTTCCAATAAACAAATATATACAGTGTATCTCAAATTTTTAACATTAAAGTTTAACATCAATATTTTTACAATTTAAAATGTTGACTCTTACTGTTTTCATACTAGCATCATACTAGCATCAGTGTGAAGTATTCCCTCTCTGGATTTGTTAGCATAATTGTAGAAGGAAGGAAACATTTTCATCGATAATTATGTAGAGACTTAATGGAGGGACCCTCTACATCAACTTCTTTGTTACCCATCAGCTAAAACATTTTTTTCTGAACTATTCAATTCACAATGTATAGCTTAAATGGAATGCAGTGCAAACTTTTGTTTTGATGAGGTAATTCAATTTAGCAATAGACTTTAATACTTCTTAGGATGATATGTAACATATATAAATAAAATGTGTGCACACCTTTGCTCTGATGCGATTTCTGTAATATGTGGATCCAAAGCTACATGTAGACATAACCCCCATAACATTTCATGTCCAGCCAGCCTTCTTTGCCAGATTGCTGAGCATCTCCTGAATGAATAAAGCAATGCATTTTTCACTTATTTTTCTATACATCAAACACATACTAAGATTCTTCAAGAAAAAATGGTTCACTTTTATACATATTGACTATAAACTTTATTAATTTCATATAATATGACATACATGCTCAGTGCATCTACTTAAATGCTCAGTGCATCTACTTAAATGCTCAATTCTTGCAAATAGTTAGCTAGCAATTTTATTCATCATACCTGTACTTCTGTACCCTTAAAAGAAATCCAGGGGTTGATGCTAAATCTTTCTTTAAGCCAATTGACATTCTCTCTGCAAATTTTTAATTTATATAAAAAAAATAATTGATATAATATATATAATCCATTTCTGCTTGATGCAGACCCCCAAATCATTAACCAAAGTACATGAAAGTGTATACATTTATATGATAAAACTACCAGGTAATGTTTTAAAACAGTTGTTGACACCCTATATTATTTCCAAGACATTAATTTCACTTTTGGAAGACATGCTTCATAATAAAATCATAAAATTTTGACAATTGAATTTGGAATGTTCAAATAGTATATATTAATTCAGATTGCAAAAAATTAAATAGATTCGGATACAAATGTACAATTTTTGGACCAAAAAATCTACAGACAAACAAACAGGCAGAGAAACAGACATTGTGAATCCAGTATATCCTAAAACTTTGTTGGGAAAAATATAACAAAGTTTATTATACAGGGTGTACTTACCCTTTTTTGAAGCAAGCCTAGGATATTGATGTCTGTTCTTCCATTTTATTAATGAGAGAGGCTGACTGTATATTGAACCTATATAAATTATAGAACAAATATTCACACAGTATAAATATTTTCTAGACATATATCTAATCCAACTAAAAGTTAAAAGAAACTACAAAAGAGAGTGAGTACAAGTCTTTAGGTTAAATTCTCTAGTGTTGAAAAAAAAATCTATAAATGTCAATTTATATACATGTAAATAATCAAATGAAATTAGATAATGTACTTTCAATACACATGTAATAGTACCTTGAATGTCTGATTAAGCTAAAAGTCATTATCCCCCAGAAGATAATGTATAGTTTTATAGTTCTTCATAGTTTTTATAGCCAGCAAGTTCTATAATATATGCCTTACATATTTTCACATGTTTTCATACTATATATATTTATTAGTGTCCTGGATTTTTTTCTATAGAAAAAGAGTTGGATTAATTTAGTTTTTGATATATGTTTAAGTCATTACTTATATATACTGTGATGATTATTGTATTTATTTATTTATTTTACCTGCATTGTGATCATGCATCGTCTGCCAAACCAGCTTTGGGTCTAAATCGTCAGTCAAATCAGCTTTGTGTTCAATCGTCAGTCTAATCAGCTTTGGTTCTTTGAACAAAAAAAATACAAAATAGCACTGTGACACTGAACTCCAGTTCCTAAATACATTATTTAAAACACGTTTCTCATTAATTTGATGAAAGAACCGAATAAATAACGATCTCAACAAACATTTTACGTTAACTGCTTTACAAGGTTTCTACTTTCACTTTCATATCGAATATAAACTGATAAATATTCAAGCGTAGCTATTAACAAAAGGGAAACAAATCTGAAAAATAAGTGATGCTAAATGGCCTAAACATTCATCGTTAACAAACAAAATTACTTATTGATACCTAGGTTTATCGGCTTTTTACGAACTGCATTAATCTTAATAACAATTATATACAAGTGATGAGAATACTAGAAAGTTTATACTCATCTGTAACCGTAATGAAATGATCTAAACACAATGAACTAGCCTTTAAAAAGTCTTTCAAAACGTATCCGAGATCACTTACTTTTTCCAACACCCAACTCTTCTGCTGCAGAAGTGACGTCAAACATGACGTACACTTTCATCTGATAAAAACCGAAACCGGTCCGTAAATAAAATGTGGAATGATTTTAATTTTACTCATAAAATAAAACCAACCATGACAGTTTTTGGATGAAATACAAATCAATTTATTCTTGATGAATTTTGTTTTTCAAGAAAACAAATTTTGAATATTTTATGAAAGGGTTTTTTTGGGGGGGAGGGGGGGAGGGGGGGAGTAATAGATTACTTATTCCCTTTTTATCCAAGCTTCTTAAGGAATTTACACACCTTGATATATATGTTATTGAAATTGTTTTTTAATCATGCAGTCTACTTGTTAAAATACATGTATAACACCAACTTTTTCACATTAAGCTTAATATGAAATTACTCAAGTGTTAACTGATTAACATTGAATAAACGTATTTTTTTTTATCTCATTGAATTAAAATAAAAATGAATTTTACCTGTTTATAACAAGGACAAATATATAAACACTCACAGATCTGTTTCATATGATTCTCATATGATAATTCTCAAAGTATACATAGGATTCTCATATGCAATATCTTTCATATGTGTATCATATGTATATTGCTTCATATGATTTACATATGTGTTTTCATATGATCCACATATGATTTGCCACATATGATACTCATATGATTGAATATACATATGATTCTCATATGATCCTTATATGATCCTCATATGAAGGGCATTGCATATGTGGAGCATATGTGGCAAAATTGCCTATGTTGAATAAAGGGGATTCAAATTTGTTCATTGCTTAAATGAAGGTCCTTTAAAGGGGAAATATTCTAGAAAAGACCAGAACCGGACTAGAAAAGAGTTGAATCATTAAAAAAATCTTCTCAAGAACACTGAGCCAGAAAAAAACGTGCAAGTTTTGCTGACAAAGTATAGAATTGAATGTTTTACAATCAAGATCCCTAGAGATAGGGTAATGCCAAGAGAGGATACAATCAATTCATGCATGTGGTGTTTGGGAAAAAAATCTTGTTTTTAAGATCAAAAGGGCCATGTTTAGGCACATTAGTGTGTAAGCATCACCCAGGTAGTGCAGATTAAGCCTCTTCAAACCATGGTCTTCAGAATGAGGGCGGGGCCATGATAGTGAATCAAAGTTTGTCAGAAGAATATGTAGGGGAAAATATTGTTAACAACAGCAGGGCCACAATTAGTCATATTTATATGGATCCATCCTCAGGTAGAGCACAATTTTAAGTGATTGATAATTGATAAGTGTTCTTGTCATTCTGCGCATAGGTTAGTCAGCTATATAAATTATAAAGGTATCCTCAGTGCAGATTTAAGTTTGTTCAAATCAAGGTCTCCGGGGTTGGGATGGAGGGATTATAGGGGATCAAAAGTTAACAAGGGATTACAAAGGGAAAAAAATCTTTTAAAATATCTTATTGAAGAATATTTTTTGACATAACTAGTCGGTTTACTTTCTATAGCTTGAGGACCTTTGATGTTTTCTCTGTGTATTTTTTAAAATTTGTTCCATGATTTTGGCCACTCCCTAACCCCAGGGTCAATAAATAAAAAAAAAATGAATACATACATTTTGGGATTGTTTGTCTATTAATATGATTTAAGTGGTCCTGCTATTTTTGAATTTTTTATGTCCTATATATATTCCCTAAAACACTGATCACCTTTTGTGATAATACACTACCAAGTGTGCACTTAAAGAGATTTTAAAAGATTTTTCCTAATAGGTATTCATCTTAAACCTTAAATTAATGCAATAAAGTGACCCCATTCTATCCCGTCGATTTGATTTGAGCAAACGTGAATTAATCAAGGATCGATGTTTGCATATGACTTAATTTAATCATGACCCAACTGTAACGTGCAAGGGAGGTCACTACCTGTGAACCCCCGTGGGCTCGTATCCGTGATAAAACAGATACTCCTGAAGTGCTGCAAATGTTTACAATGCGCAGTTTTAATCACTAGGTACTGCGCGTATATAGGATTTTAACTGTCAGCGAACAAGTACCCTGGCAGGGAAGTCCTCACATCAGCACACTTCCAAAAGGGACAAGAAGGTATGTCCACACACCTGCCCTTGCGCAGCGACAAGCAGGGATGACCACACACTTGTTACTTATGAATTGATTCTAATTAGACACTGTCACGGATGTTCGCACACCCGGGGTCTGCCACAAGATCCAGGCAAGGAAGTCCACACACCTGATCTTGTGCAGCAACAAGCAGAGATGTCCACACACTTGTTGTTTAGAAATGCCAAGTCCAGAGCAGGGATTACCACACACTCTAGCAGAAATGAACATAATTTCAAGCATTTCTAAGTGAACTCTAGCAAAGCTTCAAAGAGTTAATACTTTAAAAGTCTGTTCCACAATAGCCAGGTTGTATTAGTCTTATTGATGTTAAAGCATACCAGTGTTGTATGAATTCAAGTAAGGTTGAGACATGTCCCCTTGGTGCTTTGCCACAATATTTGTTTATAGTTTTCATGAGAATCAAAAGAAAAAAAAGAAATTAAGAATCTTCTAAAAACCAGTAGGGTTGATATAGTGAGCGTTGTGGTCCATGGGAATTTTATTTATTTTTTGTTTTAGGTTATTCTGGTTGCTTCTCCTATTGGTTTGTCTGGCTGTTTTGATTTATCAGATAATTGACAGAATCATATACTTTTATTCATACCCCGACACTGTAAATGTAAAAGTCAACTCAACAGGACACTGGAGTTTTCGGCAGTCACGATCTGTAACCAAAACGCATTCAAGTATGAATCTTTTTTTTAACTTTAACACTCTCATAAATCTGATGTACACCAACAAAAAGTTTTATATCCCAAAGTTTTATAGATGAATTGATTCAATGGATTAATTACCTAGGTGATTAAAAAACTATGTTAAAAATGGAATGTAATACCCTTGATAATTCCAATACTGAATTGAATAAAGCTTTTTAGCTCACCAGAGATGAAAGCTCAAGTGATCTTTGACCTGCGTCCATCTGTCTGTAAATTGTTCACATTTTCGACTTCTTCGAAATGTATGTCTTCAATTTAACATTTCAATAGATCGACGAGGTTTCAAAATACATTTACATGTATGCTGTTATTATTTATGGAATTTTTTCTATTTGTATGAGGTACTATATTCTTCCCCCGAGTTTTCTGAAATCTGTAACAACATAAATATAAATGTATAAAAACAGTCAAAGATATGCATATAATGATAATTTTTAACAATATATTACATATAAATTTACAAAACATTCAAAGATATGCATATAATGATAATTTTCTTATTTATTAATAATGTAAAATAGTATATTAGGAAACGAATGGAAGTCAAAATGTAATGATACACAATACGCAATACGCAAAGGGAAAAATACGAGCTCGAGGAAAAGTTTTCTTTAAAAAAAAAAACGGGAACCGGAAAAGCACAAATTTATACTTATTGGTAGTGTATCTATATATGTATGACCGAATATTAAAGGGTTTTAAACAGAATCATTTTGGTAACAGATTTAAATTGAATTCTGAACGAAGGGAATAGAAATCCTAACTA